TTTCACTTTTTAAGACTAAAACAAAAGATTGATTCATTGTTATTCTTAATTAAAAAGCACAACAACAATAAAACAGTAGGCTAAAATGACAAACTAGCTTACATAACGTTTATTAACAAAAACGAATAAGATGAGGCATGGCATACACCACATGCTATATTATATACTGACTAATAAATTACAGAATGTTTAGCAAACAAATTTTTTGAAAAAAAGAAATCAAATAAATAAAAAAACAAACAAAATTAAAGGAAGCCTCCATAGCGTAACGTGAGGTAAACAGCAAAGATAACAAGCTTTTTCAAACGAAAACAAAGAAAAGTCAAAGTAAACTGGCTGTTGCTGACAGGTTTTAAATGTTTTTTTTTCCCACAAGAATACCAACATGTTCACCTTCTCTGGTTTAAGAAGCGGTCTTTTACTTTATTTCAGAGTGAAAACCAAATCCTCCATCTGCCATCATTTCCTCAATATTCGCGTCATTTTTGCCGTGCGCTGTGTTTTTGCCCTCTAAGTCTGGGCAAAAACCACAGTGACGCTTGACTTAGCAAACACCACTTATAAACTTGTTTAGGTCTTTTCAAGTCAGTCAATGTCTAAGGAATTCTTTCATGTGGTAAATAAGATTTAATGCACTGAGAAGCACACATTTGTGATGGAGATCTCCAAATCTAGAAATCTGAGCACTTTTACAGGCAGTAAAATGGGGAAATACACTAACTACTGTGAGAAATCAAGGGCCTTTAGAAAATAAAAATGCCTTATTGGTTGTTATCATGGATCTCGTGTGTAAATGTCAAGCCAGACACACGGATCGTCCAGATTTCTCACGGTTAAGCTCTGAATTGGGTTGTTAAAGCCCTGTTGGCCGGCCCACGCGGGATGTTTCATAAGGTTAAATGATGGCCCCTATTCTTCTTGGCCTTTCCGAACAGCAGGCCTTCACATTCTTTACTGCTGAGCTAGTTTCACCTTCGACCTCCGACACTTTAGAGACGTTTAGCAGATGTAGATTAAGCCAAACGCTCCTGTCAATTACCGGACGGATCAAAAGCAATGCCTCCAATTTAACTCGGATCATGACACAGACAATAAACAAGAGGAAAGGTTTACTTTAGAGAAGGTGCATTACTTGTTACTACAGTCGAGTTTGTTCCGGGTCCTCTGGTGTTGTTCTTTATGACCGACAAAGTCACTTCATATTCCTGTCCCGGCCCGAGTCCCGGTTGCTCAAAGTTGGTCTGGGAAGGTGTCAGATTGTTCACTATCTTCCCGTTTTCTTCCTTCTGTTATTGAGAGATAAAAACATGCATTTAGCTTTATTTACTATTGATTGTTTTTGCAAAACCTGTCATGTATTTAAGAGAATGTATACATCAGTAGTTTGCAACCAGAGGACCTGTAATAATAATAAAAAATAATAATGAAAAACTTTTATTGTCCAAAAAAGGCTTCTATTCTTATATGCAAACATCATTTTCTAAATATGTATTTTTGATTCTTCACTAAATTTCAGAAACTTAAAATGATTTAAAATAAGAAAAAACAAGCATTAAATAAGCCAAAACAACTAATCTAGATATTTCTAGATATTTAGATATCTAGATTTAGAAATCTAGATATTTCCTGTTTTAATTCACTGCCCTCAACAACCTGAAAATAAGAGGTAGTCTAATTTAAAAAAAATGTGATTTTTAGACTAAAAAGGCATATAAATTAATAAAAATGTGTAACCCCATGGGCACTTTTATAATGAGAATACATTTTTGTAATTATGCCAAGTTCTAAAATATTTATAGATGAATATATCTAAACTATAATCAAACTGTTATTTAAAAATATAATAATAATACAATAAATAAACAAAATATAATAATATATTTTTTAAATACCTTGGAGTCAAATTACAAAACATCTCAGAGACATTTTAATAAATAAAAAATAAATAAATAATCAAACTAATAAATAAATAAATAAATACATAAATATTTGGTGTATTTCAGACCCAAAATATTATAGTTTGAAAAGTTAAACAAACAAACAAACAAATAAATAATTTAATTCAATAAAAATCTTAAAAAATAATGAAACATTTTAACGGTTCAAAAATAGGCTCCTATTTTTAAATGAATAAAATCTTAAAACTCCATGGACACACTTATAAAGAATACACATTTCATGTTTTGTAGTTATGCTAAGTTCTAAAATATTTTATTGAGAAGAAATTGAGTAAAAAAATTAATAAATCAAAAAATAAATTTCAAAAAAGGTTGAGCACCACTGATCTAGATGACCTCAAAGCTAACAGACATATACTAAAAGTCACAAAACTCCAATAATAACTTTTCAGAGTCTATATTTATACCCCAATTACTGAAAGTCATGATATGACAGAGAAAACGTGTCATGCATCTAAATTTGATTAGTTTCCTAAATGCTGGTGGTATGAAACAACAGCACTGAAAGTATGCAATAAGTTTAAACATCTGGGATTTCTGGAGCGCCATTAAAGTGAGTCTTAATGGAGACTTTATGGTTCAAGGATAGTTTTTTTAATGGCTCCTTAAATGAGTGTATGAGCTCATGTCCGCCTGCAGCGCTGACTCAAATGGAGAATATGTCCCTTCGCATCATTACAATGAACGGTGATTAAATTATCCATTACTCTGTTTTAAATATGAGAGAGAGGCTCTGAAACAAGCTGCATGACTGTATAACCCTGGCACCTAGGACAGCCTTTAGGAATAAACCGCCGTGTGAACATCTTACCACAGTAAATCTATTGACCTAAAGGTTGAGCAGCTGGTACAGAGATACATTTTTACTATTAGTTTTACTGCCAGTTATTAACCTGATGAAAGCGTATTTAGCATCTAGGGTATTTCAACACTTTTCTTGCACTTCGCTTTATAGCACTTCATGAATATGGCTCTGAATTGATTCCACGTCCTGGGAAGATGGTTTTTATGAAGTTAATGAAACTGACCTAAATTCCAATGCCTTGTAAGGCACTAAAAATATATTTTGTTGTATTTTCTGTCTCAAATGCTTGCAGTGTTTTGCTTGCAGAAGAGCAAAATAACTAAATACATATCCAATACTGATGAGGTCATAATTATTAAAATAAATAATTAATTAAAAAACTAAATATAAAAAATCATTTGAAAAAACTGTAATAAAATTAAAACACCCTAAAAATAATAATAAAAAAAAATTAACCATCCAAATAGGCTTTTTTCCTATATGCAAACATAATTTTCTAAACATAAATGTTTATTTCTTCAATAATTTTTTGTTTGCCATTTTCTTGATATGTTCATATTTACACGTAAAACAAACAAAAAAATAATTAAGAATTTGATTATTGTATTACTTATATTGTATATTATTAATATAACATAGTATATGTTGTGATTCAAATTCTTTGAGTCTGAGGGGCTAAATAAATACATAAATAAATATAATTCTGATAAAGTAATAATTATAAAATTAATTAATTAAATAAAAAAGCTACAAATAAAGAATTCTAAAAAAGAAAAGAAAAGAAAAATGATAGGTTCATATTTTCCCTTTAAACAAATGAAAAACTTGAAAAGAAATCTTACGCAGTTTTGCCTCTCAGGTGAAATGATCTTGTTTTTCAAGAATTCTGACTGTTTCGTATTGGAGAAGACAAAAACTCGTTAAGAATGTATTATTGTATCATAGGCTAGATTATTGGCTGATCCAATCTGATTTTGACAACCCCATTCTAAATCACATTCATATTTGGTTTTAAATCAATTTTAAATCTTTTTTTTTTTTGCGACGTGACGTGTATGGAATGTCATAGACAATGTGCAGCAGCATCTACAGATGCATCTGAATTCTCTCATTTTGTGCCTAGATAAGAGCCTTCAACATTGTCTCCCGTGAAACTAACCGTGTTACGGAAGATGAGCTCCCAGCCGTCGAATGGAACGTTCAGCTGGTCCCACAAAACCTCCACAGACGTATCACTGATGGATTTAAACTTCAGGCCCTCGGGCTGCGGAAGATCTGCAGGGAAAGAGCACAGTGTACCGTGATATTCACTGAAGTTTATTAGCAATAGTCAGTGTCTGAATATGAGAGCGTTACCTGTGCAAATGTGTAGTGGCTTGGTGGACTAGTTTCTAATGCTGGACAGATTTGCATATGCAATGTAAGATAGCACATGCATGTGCAATCATTGTCTGTGTTACAGATTTTTCTTAAAATAAAACATTTAATAGGTTTATAAACGAGGCCTTAGGATGGAGTGGTGTAGCTTAGTAGTTCATGCAAGATGGTTCTAGACATTCCCTATGATACGTGAACTTTTAAATTGCTTTGAATAAAAGATTTCGCTAAATGACAATAAAAGACGTGTTTAGGAAACCTGTTTGGTGACACTAATGACACTGAAAATACAAACTATAAGGCAGTAGAATAAATACTATCATGATGCAAAAATATTGTATAATTAAAAATTAAAAATGTATAATTATGCTGACAATATAAAAATAGGACTATTTTGATATTATAGTGATGAGAACTAATTAATTAAATTAATTAAGTAATAACTTTGACTAATAAATAACGAATAAAATAACTAATAACTAAAAACAAACCAAAAAAAAAATTCTAAAAATATAATAATGGTGAAAAATCTTAATGGTCCAAAAAACGGGCTAATTTCCCCAATTATTTCAATAACTGTTTTGATGATCGAGTAAACCATGACCAGGGCATTTTCTTGGCAGGTTTATAAATAGTATCATGATGCTAAAACATTTTATAATTTGTAATTTAGAATTATACAGTAATTATACAGTATACAGAAATTTGAACTATACAGTAATTATACAGTAATGCCAATATAAGAATGAGACTATTTTGATATTATAGTAATAAGAACTATAGGAAATGCTTATTTGTCATAATTGTCATAATAATAAAAATAAAAACAATGAATTAATTAAATAAAAAATAACAAAAAATAACAAATTACCTTACCTATTATAAATCCTAATGATAATAATAGTAATAGAAAATCTTAATGATAAAAAAGTCTAATCTCATAATTTCTTTTCTTTAACATTTATTTTAGAGTGAATTATGACTGGGTCATTTTCTTGACAGGTTTCAGAAGATTTACCTTTAAACAAATGAAAAACAGAAAAGACTATGAAAAGCATGAAACACATTTTCTCTTCAGATTTTTGTCTCATGCAATTTTGCCTTACGTGAATTTATCCTGCTATTCATCCATTCATTCATTCATTCATTCACTCACTCAAAAAACTCCTTAAGAATATGATTTTTTGCCATGCAGGTATTAGTATTATTGGGTAGATGATGGTACCCTAATTATGAAAATGGCACAACTGCAAGAGACCACATCTCCAGTGACAGAAACTGAAGTGCAATTATACTTTTCAGCAGTTTTATCTAGTGATTGCATGTGTGTGTATTTGTGTAAGGTTGATCGGGACATGTGAACATACATGTGGCCACTCTGGCGCTGACAGGAACGCTCTTCTTGTTGTTGAGGACGGCATAAACATTGATGAGATACTCGATTCCCGGCTCCAGCTCAGAGACGGTAGCAGACGTACGATCTCCAGGCACACGGAAGTCCAGCTGCAGGCCACCTGGTGACGTCGGGACGTACGTAACCAAATACTCCGTCACCAGCATCTCGTTCTTCCATGTGAGGTTCACCTTCTCCGTGGTCACATCCGTGACGGTCAGGTCTTCCGGTGGTGAGACTGGGAAAGATATCAAGGGTCATTTACGTCACAGATGTTGAGAGAGCGAACGGTCTTTGGTGCCAAGTAGTAGGAAAATTGTCCGTGTCTCCACTGTGGTGACTGGGAAACATCCAGTCAAGCTGCTGAGAGGTTAGAATCAAGCTACACTGACTAAATTAACTTGGGTTTCTTATTAATGGGAGTTTTTGGACCTTTTGATATGAGTTTAATTGTTGTCTGCGTTGACCTTCACCACTAATGGTCCTCTATATAAAGCTAATGGATTTCACAGGCACACATATGGTGTGAGTTTACTGTCAAAGTACAAAAATTGAGCATGTTCAGCACTTTTCTGTACAAAAAGATGACTATAAAATAGTGTGTATGTAGTAGATTTTTAATGTTTTTGAAAGAAGTCTTTAATGCTCACAGAGGCTGCATTTATTTAATAAAAATACTGTAAAATTTTACAGTAAATCTTTTTACTGTAAAATACAGTAAAAACTGAAATATTATTACAATTTAAAATGACTGTTTTCTATTTGAATATATTTTAAAATTTAATTTATTCCTGTGATGCAAAGCTGAATTTTCAGCATTATTACTCCAGTCTTCAGTGTCACATGATCCTTCAGAAATCATTCTAATATGCTGATCTGTATTCATTTCTTTCATTTAATTTACTGACCAAGCTTTTGAACAGTAGTGTACTGTATATCATCAGTAAGTCATTTGTGAGTCTTATGGGCTGCGTTTATGGTGCTTTTCTGAGTCTTTTGATGCCTGACAACCCTGAGTTGTATAGAAAAGTGTATAAACATTCTGCGTAACATTTCATTTAGTAATTCATTGGAAGAAAGTTTTGGAATAACATGAGGGCTACAGAAGTTTATTTCTGGCTGAACTATCCCTCTAATTTACAAGCATAAAAGCAAAGAAATGCCAATCATCTGGCTAACACTTGAAAAAAAAAGTGTTTGCATCACCAGTACTAAATAAGAACTAATGCTTTGCAGGGTTATTATTGTTAACTAAAACCATAAAAAAATATTGTTACTTTAAATAAAATAAACATTAACTGAAATAAAATAAAATATAAAAAATAAACTTATTTTATTTTTTACTTTGTAAACTCAGTTGCGAAAACAAGAGTTTTTATTTTCATGTACTTTAACTTCAAGTACTAAAATAACCAGTGTTGAGGAAAGTTACTTTTAAAGTAATGCATTACAATATTATGTTACTCCATGAGAAAATAACTAATTAAGTTACTTAGTTACTTTTTGTCACCTGGGTTGGGCTTGCTTGTGTAATTTTTTAAACAAAAATCTCAAAAGTTATATTTTTGGCAGCTGTAAAGGCGCTTGTACACCAAAAGTGAAATTAATAAGCCCCAGGCTGAAAGAATTTCCAATTTCTCTCAACTTGGGGACAGGAGAGCTGTCAGCGAATACATGGGAAAACAAAGTAACTTGCATTACTTATTTGAAAAAGTAACTCAGATATTTAGTTGTAAATTTAAAAGTAATTTGTCACATTACTAGTTACTTGTAATCTGATTATGTAACTCATTAACTTGTAATGCATTACCCCCAACATTCATGTTATTTTAGTATCACTGAGATACTCTTAATATTTTGAACATATGTATACATATTTTCCATTTTCATTTGAATTTTAGGTAAGGGTTTAATAATTTTGTTGTGTGTTTTTGTAATTTTTTGTAGTTTTTTTTAAATATAGGTTTTATGAATTTTTATTTGAGTTTTAGTTATTATAGTACACAAAGTTAAACTAAATTAAAATGAGAAATGCTGTCTTGACAACAATGTTTAAGTTTTTTTATATCTTATTTTATTCCAGTTAACGTTTATTTCACAAGTTCTTTTTTAAAAAAAATTTAAACTTTTTTTAAATTTTAGTTAAAATGTTAGTTTAAGTTAACTATAAAACCCCAGAAAATAACAAGTAAAACTAAAACTAAAATGAATAAAAATGATAAAATATGGCAACATAATAAAAATGTTTTTTAAAAAATTCTAAAAAAGAAACAAAATTATCTAAAACTTTAACTAAAATGAAAATGAAAATGGAAAATATGAAAATATAAACATATTCAAAATATTAATATATAGTATATAAATAATACTATATATAGTATAGCATATAAATGACTACAATTACCTTCTGAGCAATCCTCGCCAATGTGGCCTTCATCACACACGCAGCGGCCGTCCACACATTGCCCCACACCACTGCAATCATTCGGACAGCTTCTTTCTCCACAGGCGTCTCCAACGAATCCCTTGTCGCACACACATTTCCCATTGAGGCAGCGTCCACGGTTATTGCAGTTTCCAGGACAGGTGGGAACGGAGCAATCCAGGCCCTCAAAACCCTTCTGGCAAACACACTGTCCTTCCACGCAGCGTCCGCGGCCGAGACAGTCGTTGTGACACTTCCTCTGACCGCAGTCCTCTCCGGTGAAGCCTTCGTCGCAAACGCACTGTCCCGCAACGCAGCGTCCGCGGTTCAGGCAGTTGCTTGGGCAGCTCAATTCACTGCAGTCTCCGCCGGTGAAGTCCGCAAAGCAAATGCACTTCCCGTCCACGCACTGGCCTCGTCCGTAGCAGTCCGACGGGCAGGATTTCCAGGACAGGTGGGAACGGAGCAATCCAGGCCCTCAAAACCCTTCTGGCAAACACACTGTCCTTCCACGCAGCGTCCGCGGCCGAGACAGTCGTTGTGACACTTCCTCTGACCGCAGTCCTCTCCGGTGAAGCCTTCGTCGCAAACGCACTGTCCCGCAACGCAGCGTCCGCGTTTCAGGCAGTTGCTTGGGCAGCTCAATTCACTGCAGTCTCCGCCGGTGAAGTCCGCAAAGCAAATGCACTTCCCGTCCACGCACTGGCCTCGTCCGTAGCATTCCGACGGGCAGGATTTGATGCTGCAGTCCTCGCCGCCGAATCCCTCTTCGCAAACGCACTGGCCGTTATCGCAGCGCCCGCGGTTGTTGCAATTATTGGGGCAGCTAAACTCTGAACAATCATGACCTTGGAATCCGACGTTGCATTCGCAGTGCCCGTCGATGCAGCGCCCTCTACCATTGCAGTTATTCAGACAGGAGAGCTTCCCGCAGTCCTCTCCGAAATAACCCGTTTCGCAAATGCAAACGCCGTTGAAACAGCGCCCTCTTTGGTTGCAGTCGTTCGGACAGGTCAAGCTGGAACAATCCTCGCCGGAGTAGCCAGCAATGCATACACAATGGCCGTCAATGCAAAAACCTCGTCCCGAGCAGTCGTTCGGACAAGCAATCGTGCCGCAGTCCTCTCCGGTGAAGCCTTTATCACAATAACAAGTCCCGTTGTCACATCGCCCGCGGTCGTAGCAGTCATGCGGACAGATGAGCTCGGAGCAATCAAATCCGGTCCAGGGTTCGTCGCAGACACACTCGCTATCAATGCAGCGGCCGTGTCCCAAACAGTTGTTGAGGCAATCCGTCTCTGTACAATCGTCTCCGGAGAAGCCTTCATTGCAAACGCACACTCTGTTAACGCAACGGCCGTTCTCACCACAGTCAACCGGACAGGTCTCCACACTGCAGTCCTCACCCGTAAAGCCATCGAAACACTCGCACTTTCCGTTAACGCAGCGGCCCTGGTCGCTGCAGTCTCTGGGACAGTCGGGAACGGTGCAGTTGGGGCCCTTCCATCCGGGCTCGCAGATGCAGCCGCAGGTGTCCGTGCTGTAGTTTCCACGGCCGTTGCAGTAGGGCTTTGTTCCTATAGCACCTACACAATCAGGAGATACATTTAAGAAATTAAACATGCTATTTGCTAAAAAAGTGGGATTTACAATTATGGAAACATCTCAATTACCAGGCCAGTCAAATGGCATTTGCTAAGGAAAGGGTCTTGACCTCCCAGATGTACAAAGTGTTACACAATTATGTGTCAGTGAAGATATTAGCATTAGACAAAGTGGCTTTTTTTTTTATTTCAACACCTACTATTTTTTATTTATCATGAATTCTGTCTCTGAGAATTAATTAATCTTCAGAGACAGAATTAATTTAAATACTAGGTGCTGAAATCTAAAAATAAATAAATAATTTTCTTCATGTTTTAAACTAATTATCTGAGGTTAAATAAATAAATATTGTCCCCCTTTATATATATATATATGCTTGCCTCTTTTGATCTCAAGAGAGTGTTAACTATGACTACTCACAAATCAAGCAACCAACTGGACCTTATTTACACACGACACTGCTCCACTGATCATGTGCTGGTTACTCCACTGCACACCTCGGATCACTTCCTCCTCAGTCTTAACCTAAACATGGTTCCTGACACAACACATACCCCTCCACATGTCATCTTTCGACGTAACCTACGCTCACTCTCAGCCTCCCGGCTATCTGCTATGGTTTCATCTTCGCTTCCTCCCGCTAAACAGTTAGCATCTCTTTATGCTAACAGTGCTACTGATACTTTCTGCTCCACTCTTACATCTTGTTTAGACACTGTCTGCCCCTTGTTTTCCAGGCCAGCCTGTACCACCACTTCTGCCCCTTGTCTATCTGATGTTCTCCACGAACATCGTTCTAAGCTCAGGGCTGCTGAAAGGGTGTGGCGCAAATCAAAAAATACTACTGACCTTAAAGTGTATCAGTCACTCCTCTCTTCCTTCACTGCTAATGTCTCTACTGCTAAAAGGACATACTACTATAACAAAATTAATAATTCGTCTAACTCTCGCATGCTCTTTAAAAATTTTCCTCGCTCCTTTGTCCTCCTCCTCCCCCTCCTTCATCAACTCTAACAGCTGACGACTTTGCCACGTTCTTCATTAATAAAATTAAAACCATCAGTGCACAATTTTCCACACCACAATCTGTCACACACATCTTACCAGCAAACATACACCGTACAACATACACACTTTCCAATCATCCTACTACTTGTCCGCTTGATCCTATTCCATCTCATCTCCTTCAAGCCATTTCTCCTGTAGTTGTACCTGCACTCACTCACATCATTAACACATCCCTTCACACTGGTGTTTTTCCCTCAGCATTTAGACAGGCTCGTATAACCCCACTACT